GCTGCTAATAGAGATTTAGTGGCCGCATGTCCCTTATTGAAATCTAATGACCATAATTTTTTCCACATAATTAAAAATTCAAAAGATAATCAACAACCATGATTTGGTGCAACATAGTCCTTTAAAGAGAAATTTTGGTGCAATGAATGCCCGCTACATGACAAAAATCGAAGGAAGTAATTTAATTGTTCCACAAAATCAAGGAAGTTGCTACCATGGTGCAAAATTATTCAGTTCAGTTGAAGAAAAGTAGAAACGGTTCCAACAAGTCCAATTTTAAAGATTTCTTATAATCAAATTTTTGTTTCTGATAACTAAATGACACGTGACATAAATCTATTTTGTAATAAAGATGAATTCAAAACTGTTGAGATTCACTTGATTTAATCAAGGTTAAATAGCATGAAAGTTGGAGAAAATCATTATCAGATCAAATTTATGGCAACCAGATTAGTTATGGAAACCCATAAATATAAAATTTCAAGACAAAGTTCAAAAGGCCTAACGTATCGCAACAACATCTACATCTCAATTTGTTTTAATTCAACGTTAGTTTAGTTCTAAATAACCCTTACAGCAACTTTGCAATTTTTTTGTTAATGTAGAAGAATTTTTTTGTTAATGTAGAAGATGTTCAATCCCCTCAACGGATTCTTTGTTTTTACTGTTTTTAGTTAAATTAGCTCAAGTAATTAAACTTAATATAATTTTACTTCTTATGCCAGCAAACTTTGTATTTTTATTAATAATTTACATCTTTGTTTGATTGCCCAAATGTAATTTCTACTTTGTTAATAAATTTATATTTCAACTTTTAGTTGTAATTTTTCTTTAAAATTGCAAGTAAATATCTTAATTTTATTTCATTTTTATCGATAGCTAATGCTTTACGTTTTTGTTAGTACTCTTAATTTTTATTTGATTGCCCAAATGTAATTTCTACTTTGTTAATAAATTTATATTTCAACTTTTAGTTGTAATTTTCTTTAAAATTGCAAGTAAATATCTTAATTTTATTTCATTTTTATCTATAGCTAATTCTTTACGTTTTTGTTAGAACTCTTAATTTTTAATTATAACTAAGTTTTAAGATTTCAATCACATTCTTTAGTTTAATGTTCTCCTGTTACCTTAGGTTTAGATCATTTTTTTATTTATGCCATGCACTCTTTCTCCTTCTTTCTTATTTCTGTTTATTTTTCTTAATAAATTAACTTTATTGTGGTTCTAGATGTAGGAAATCCCTAATGTTATATAATAATATTATATAATATTATTATTACAAATAAACTCTTTAATAATTACATAATAATATTACATGAACCAAATTTTCTATTTGCATTATGAATATTATTATTTTATGCTATTAACATCCTTTAAAATTTAAAATCCCACAAAAAAATTTAGAAGTTAACAACCAAATCTTTTAATTGCTTGTTGCTTTGCACATAACCTAACCATTAATTTTGAATTATTTGAGTTTTAAATTATAAAAGATTTTAATTACAAATAAAAATTTTAAAAGGTGTTGATCATAAAAAATAACAATATTTATAATGTAAATTAAAGATTTGGTTTATTTTATATTGTAAATTTATGATATTACATAATATTATAATAAAAAATTATTTTATTATTTAAATTATATTAAATTGAAAAATAATCACTCTTAAATTAGTGCAGAGTTTCCTAATATTAAATTTTTATTTTTTACCTAAAATATTTTAATTTTATAATTATAATTATATACCATTTAAATTATAAAATAAAAAGTTATATTGTAATTAGCGTATCATTTTCGGTACAAGAAAAAACGTACCTGGCAGATTCAAACTGTATGGAGTTACTGGAGATGCAGGAAACGGATATCCCCTGCCTGCCAAGATACAAGAAAGGACATACAGGGTCAGAGACTCACAGGCAGTCTAAATATTATGGATTTTACAATCTCATCGAAATTGACAGGAATATCTCCCATTTCTAATATCATCTTATTTCTCCAATAACAATATGTTAATTGAGTACTCGGATCTTTTGGTTCAATGATGTTAAGTTATATTAAAATA